CCCTGGCACTTGGAACAATGCTTTGCTTTCTTATTGCCATGCAATTACGGGGTTTGGACATATAGGGGTTGGCATTCCCTCTGTGATTCATTTCTTTGGTATCCAGCTCTTCTCCTGAGGCACCAGAGACCTGAGGGAGGGAGGGAGGGAGGGAGAGCCTGCCTGGCCTCTCCTCTGGATTCCAGCCTCACTGTAATTTGGTTTGTGTTGGGATTTCAGCTCTCTGTGTTTTCCTAAGGCTGCCTGGAGTCTCCATGACTCAGTGGGGCAGGCCTGGAGGTGCATTACTCACCAATAAATGCCATTGAGTGATCCATAAATTTCAATACATGGAAAATCCCAACAATTCTAAGGAAATGTCTGGTCAGCAGCAGCACTGCTCTGAGAACTGATCAAACCCCAGGTCTGCTTCTCTCTTCCAGTGCTGAATTCCATGTGGCCACCTCTGCTTGGCTTTTGGGTTTCTCAGTCACAGACAGAAAGGGTGCAGGTCACAGATGGAGTTGCCAAATCCAAATGTGACTTTTAATGCATTTTAAAGAAAACAAGCAGGCAAAAGATATCTATTAGTGTAAAGTCATGTGTGCAGAACTCTAAAACCTGTTCCACTTCATGGGAGGAGATGGTAACCCTTCCCAAGGAATTCCTGAGTTAAGGAGAGGGATTTAAAAAAGTAAAAAACCTCGGGACATGTGTGCAGGGATGGGGACAGCTGTGACAGTGGGCTTTGGGCTGATGGAGCACAGGGACAGGGATGGGGACAGCTGGGACAGTGGGTTTGGGCTGATGGAGCACAGGGACAGGGATGGGGACAGCTGTGACAGTGGGTTTGGGCTGATGGAGCACAGGGACAGGGATGGGGACAGCTGGGACAGTGGGTTTGGGCTGATGGAGCACAGGGACAGGGATGGGGACAGCTGGGACAGTGGGTTTGGGCTGATGGAGCACAGGGACAGGGATGGGGACAGCTGGGACAGTGGGTTTGGGCTGATGGAGCACAGGGACAGGGATGGGGACAGCTGGGACAGTGGGTTTGGGCTGATGGAGCACAGGGACAGGGATGGGGACAGCTGGGACAGTGGGTTTGGGCTGATGGAGCAGCTCCTGGCCCAGCTCACCTCCAGCTCTGACCTCCAAACCTCTCCCACTTGGGCTGTGCTGAAGTGATTCTGAGTTTAGTGCTGGGCTTGGGCACTGGGTTTGATCTCCTGCTTCCCTGAAAGGAGCCCTGGCTGAGATGTGCTCCTGGCTGGGTTGTGGTTGCAGGGCTGTGTTACAGGAGTGTCCTTTGGAAGGTCACCAGCAGCCAGCCTGCCTTCCCCGTCTGCTCCCTCCCTCTGCCAGCTCTCTCTCCATCCTTTTTTAGCCTGTTCCTTGCATGGCCAGCTGAATGGGAGGTGATAGAACATGGAATTGCCAGCGTGAAGGGCAGGGGGGGCTGCAGGTGCATCAGGAAAGGAACCGGAGGGTCAGTGCTCTGAGAAATTCCTTAGCTGTGGATTCCTTGGTGCCCACCTTAGAAATCCAGGTCTAATTTTCAACTCTGCCTTATCCAACACGGATTTCCTTTGGAGTGGGGAGAAATATTGAATTTACAGGGAGGTTGGGCACTGCCCTGTGCTTGGGTGTCACCACAATGGGGGATGTGTGGGTGCAGGGGATGGATGGATGGGTGGATGGATGAGTGGATGGATGAGTGGATGAGTGGATGGATGGGTGGATGTTTCTCTTCAGAGGAACCTGCTGGGCTGAACTTCTGGTTCAGCTGGGAGTGGAGTCAGGACCTCCTTGTACTTCCTCCCTGTTCCAGCTGCTCAGACCTCCAGGTGCTGCCATGAGCCCTCCAGAATTCTCCCTGTCCCAGCTGAGACATCAAAGGGCTGGGTGTTTGTTGAGGTGTGGGTGAAGTGCCCTGCTCCCCTGGAAGCTGACTGTGTCACAAAACATGTTTTTATCTATCTATCTATCTATCTATCTATCTATCTATCATGATTATATATATATATATATATATATATATGGAGAAATGCTTCTTCCAGGATGTGCAGGGCAGCCCTTTGGTTCAGCAATGGGTCCTGGCAGGGGGATGGGAAAGGAGAGGCTCCCCACAGAATCCCAATTGCAGTGCCTTGGGCTTTGAAATGATGACAGAAAATTTCCCTGCTCACATTTGTTCTCATTTAGCTACAGCTTGTTCACCAGGATGTTTTTCAAGGAGGGTCTGGTCCGTGCTGGCAGAGGAAAGTCTTCAGTTTCCCAAGCATGCTTATCACTTTGTCCTTGACAACGATGGGAACTTGCAGCACTTTTTTGGTGGAGAAGCAAACATGAGCAGTCCTGCCCTTGCAAGCAGCACTGTCCTGCTCTTCCTGTGTGCTGAATCACGCAGGACAGATAAAGTTTCCCCAAAATGTTGTTGGCTTTGCAGATGTCAGACCTGGGAAAGTTGGGTGGAAGGGGAAGGAGAGTGAATATCTGCAAACTGAGCAAACCTTGTAGCTCAAACAAAATGCCTCCCATCCCTTGGGAAAACGTGTGCTGGTGTAGGATGGACAATACTGAGTGCCATAATAGTGATGAACAGTGATTTTCAATATTGCAAACAACTTTAGAAATAAGGAGAATTTGTGTTTGGCATAGAGCAGTGTTGGTGGGGTGCATGGTCAGATGCATAGGGTAAAACACAGGGGGTGGTTGATGTTTGGTAGAACACAGCGGGTGGTTGATTTTGGTAGAACACAGGGGAATGGCTGATATTTGGTAAAACAGGGAAGTGGTTGATATTTGGTAAAACACAGGGGAGGGGCTGATGTTTGGTAAAACACAGGGGGTGGTTGATATTTGGTAGAACATGGGGTGTTTGATGTTTGGTAAAACACAGGGGGTGGTTGATGTTTGGTGGAACACAGGGGAATGGCTGATATTTGGTAAAACAGGAATGGTTGATGTTTGCCCCCTGCCCTCCTTCCTGGGGATTCAGGGATGGTTTGGGCTGCAGGACAGGAATCAGGAGCTCAGGCTTTAAGAGAGCTGTGTGTTTTCAAAGCCCAGGGTTTTTTAAATACTGATATCATTTTACATGGGGACTCACTGGAGATGACAGAGTGTTGGTGGAGAAGATGGAATCATGTACTGCAAGGATGCTGCTCAAATGTCTCAGCTCTCCGGGAGAGCAAAACCTCCGTGCTCCATGTGCCTTGGACATTTCCTTTGTGCTGCAGAACTTTGATAATTTTATGTGGCTTTTGCTATCTCTGTGTACAATCAGCCTGGTTTTATCTGTGTGTGATACAGTGCTTGTTCCTTGATAAGACTGAGAACATAAACACCCTCCATAATGAACATCTGGGACCTGAGGGAACAGCTGGAGCTGTGTCAGGAGAGGTTTGGGATGGATTTAGGGGAAGATTCCTCCCCAGAGGGTGCTGGCACTGCCCAGGCTCCCCAGGGAATGGGCACAGCCCTGAGGCTGCCAGAGCTCCAGGAGCCTTTGGGCAGGGTGGGATTGTTGGGGGCTCTGGGCTGGGTGATCCTGGGGGTCCCTCCCAGCTCAGGAGTTTCTGTGATCTGCTCTGGGAAGGTCAATGGTGCAGAAAACCATTCCCAGTCACAGGGGTGACAGCAGGGAAGCTGCAAGAACTATTGTCACACCCTGGCACTGCTCTTGTAAGGACAGGGGCTCCCTGTGTCACAGGGAACTTTGGGAAGCACAAGGAATGCCCTGTCTTCCCTGTCTCTTCACTGTCATCCCTTTTCCCTTGTGGAGACAGCTGGGAAATCTTCTGTTTGAAGGAACACAGTCAAACCAATAAAGGCTTAATAATAAAGGCTGTGTCCTGATGGATTGTATTCTTTAAATGTTCTTTAACCCTCTGCCATCACCCATTCAGGGTTTGAGCCATTTTGGGCAGGATATCACTTTGTCTGCTGTGTGCTCTGACTTCTGCTTTGGTTGGTTCCCTCAGGGCAGGGCTGCAGTGCCAGGACCTGCTGGGGTACAGGGGCACAGCCACTGTCCCCAGGCCTGGCTCAAAGGCAGGCAGGGCTTACAGAGACCAGCATCAATAGTGGGCAGGGTGCTGAAGTGGCTGTGCACAGCACTCAGGGCTTGGCTGCTGTCCTCCCCTATCTGTCAGGCACACAGGAAGCCTCTCCTACCTGCAGGACTGAGGGCACACCAGAGCTGGTGTGTGCAGGCACCAGGAGCACTGGCTGTGTGTTCCAGGGCAATCAGAGCATAACAGGCACTGAGAGGGAAATTTCCTGCCTGAATGTGGCTTTTCATGTTGAGCCATCCCATCAGCCACTCTCAGGGAAAGCCTTGTACCAGCTCTGCTTTCCATGACAAAATTAAAGCCATTGCTTACAGGAGGTTGACGGTGGCTTGGCTGCAAGTTTTCCTTTCTCCTCTCTTAAAATTTAATGTAGGGGAAACTTTGCCTGCTTTCCTTTTTCCAGAGGACCTTCTGGGCTGCAGGGAGAGCTGCCAGACCCACAGCTCCAGGAGGGAACCAGGGCAGCATTTGTGACCTCAGTGATGGCGTGGTCAGGGCTGCACTGGGTGCTCCCAGAAGCCTTTATGAAGGTGGTGGATGTGGTCTAGTGAGGATGTCGTGACCAAGTGCTGAGATGCTGTTCCAGGGACTGAAATTCCAGATTTCCTGTAGCACAGGCATTAATTCCCTCACTTTGGCTCACATCAGCTTTGTGGCTGCCACCATCCTGTCCTCCCTGACCTCCTAGACTGATGCTGCTCTTTCAGGCTGTATTTTTTCCTCCACTTCAGGCTGTGCTTTCTCCTCACTCTAGCAGTGGAGCACTGCACTGAATCTGCAGTCTCTGGTGTGGTACCTCCCAGGATTTGGACCTTTCAGTGATGGGAGCCCTGGTGTGTCCCTCTGGGAGATGCAGCTGGTTCCATTCTGGGGCTTCCAGCAGGAGGGAGGCTGGGCAGGGCTGCTGTGGGCTCAGGTTTGATGTTCCTGTTCCTCTCTCCCCAGAGATCATCGATGACCTGACGAGCCTGGTGGAGAGCACGGACGGGCGGCTGCGCAGCCAGACACGGCACGTGCAGGCAGTGGAGAGGAAATCCACGTCCTGTGGTAGGAGAGGGGTGCAGGACACACACCATGGGGTGCAGGGCACACACCCAGGGGTGCAGGACAGACACCATGGGGTGCAGGACAGACACCATGGGGTGCAGGCAAAACACCCAGGGCTGCAGGGCAAACACACACCCAGGGGTGCTGCTCACACACCCAGGGCTGCAGGGCAAACACACACCCAGGGCTGCCCTGGGGGCTGAGCTGGAGCAGAGGCTGGGCAGAATTACAGAATAAAGCAGGGATTTATTCAAAGGATCTCCTCAATGGATCCACCTTGGGCAGCACCAGAGCCCAGCCAGGGCTGCACCCAAGATGAACCAAAATGGTCCCAAAATGAACCCAAAATGAACCAAAATGGTCCCAAAATGCACGAGCGCTCCCGGGGTCTCTCCCTGGGATCAGTTCTGCTCCATTTGCACCTTGCAGTTCATTGTCCCATTCCAGCTTTAGCCCAGGCAGTCCCACCCTGCTTGTTTTTCTCTCTCCAGCCCACGGTGTTTGTGCTCTTGGGCTGAGATTTGGGTCATTTGTCCTTGGTGCCCAGCTGGAGCAGGAATTGTTTTGTCTCCCTGCTCTGTGCACAGAGCTCACCATCCCTTACTATGAAGCTCAGAACTGCCCGCCTAGCCAGCACAGAATGTGAAAAATACAAAAGCTAAACCTGAGGCAGGTTTTCACTGAGGATGTGCAGTTATTAACTGTTGCTAATTGCTGTGCAATGCTCCCCCTGAGGCACAAACCCCAGCACTCCACACATCTCAGCAGCTCTGACTGGCTGGGCTGAAGTGCTGGTGCAGTTAATTCCCTTCAGCCATTTGACTCCAGCCTTGCACAATGTCCTGATTGTAAGAAATGGTTTGAAATTAGAGCAGTGCATGTTAATTAGCTTTACACAAACTTGCTACCAGCTCTCACAAAGCTGGCACAGCAGGGAGCGGGGCTGCAGGGGTGTTCCTGGGGTGTCCTGCAGGAATGAGCTCCTAACCCAGCAGCACTCAGAGCCTGCCAGGCATGAAATCCTTCCTGGTGACCCGGCAGTGATGTGCAAGCTGCTAAACTAAACTGGCCTTGCTCTGCAGACAGCCAAGGACAGGGATATCCACAGGCAGGCTTGGATGAAGGGCTGAGGGCTGGAGCTCTGACCAGGAGAGGAGGCTGTGGATGGTGGAGAAAGTGTCTTTGTGTGGGGAGAGTGACTGACTGGGGGATGAAATCCCTGGGGAGGTGGTCACAGTTCAGGTCTGGATCAGCATTTCTGGTTCTGGTCTCCCTGGATTTTACCGTACCAGAAGACTCACATTGCTCTACAGAATTTTGACTGTCAGTTAGAAGTTGCTGAAATTGGGTCTATGTAGCTCACTAAAGAGGAATCCAAGGGCTGAGGTGGTCCCAGCCTGGCTGTGGCTGGTGGCAGGGAGATTTCCCTCTGTGCAGTGAGGCTCTGCCTACACAGCTCCCCAGCTCTTCCCTGGCAGTGAAGCATCTTTGCAGCACTGACAACTCCAGGGATTTATTTGGCTCTCCATCTGTGATAAGGTTCTGAAAGCATGGTTGATGGAGGCTGATGGAAACCTGTGGCTTCTTCTGGAGGTTAAAGTTGACTTGTCAGAGTCATTTGTCTCCGAGTTCTCCCGTACCAACTGCAGCTGGAATTAGAGGCGTGACTGCAGAGTTCATGACTGACTCTTTTATTTTAGATCCTGGATGTTGATGCAAGATGGATTTAATTTAAAGCTGAGTGCACTTGAATGATGCTGAGTAGCCCTGTGTGCCTTTGGAGTCTCCCCTTAATTCCTGTGGCCTTGTGTTCCTCACGAGTCCAGGGCAGCCCAGCTTGGGATGGGGGTGGGCAGGGGGTCAGTCCCAGGGGGTCCAGGGGGGATTTCTCCCCATTTTTAGGTTCCTCATTCCCCATTTCCATTCCTGCAAGTGCAGCCCCAGACATGTTGCATGTTGATGGGGCTGTGTCTTTAACTCAGGAAGCCCATCCTGGCTGCCTGGGGAATTTCAGAGGAGGAGGAGGATGGGAGAAGGAAGGCTGGGAGGATCCTGGCCTGGATTCCTTGGGGGTGACCTCTCTCACCCTTTGCACATTGGAAAACATTTGGCTTTGGTGAGAAGTGCAGCCTCTGGTGCCTGTTCCCTCTGCTCCCATAGGCCTTCCTGTGTTTGCATAACAATTTGGGCATAAGCAAACACCAAATTGCCTCAGCTGGCTGCTTCCTCCTGCCCAGGCGTGAGCTGTGGAGCAGCAGAGCTGAGCACGCAGGCTTCAGCAGCATTGCTCCCATCCCCTGCCACCCTTATCCTGGCACACAGGCTTCAGCAGCATCCTCTCATCCCCTTCCACCCTTATCCTGGCACTGGGATGAACTGGTGCACTGGGATCAGAAATACCCTCCCTGTACATGGGATTGCCCCTGGAATGAGGCCAAGCAGCAGGAAGACTGGCACCTGCCAGAGTGCCTGTTTATCATTTACATTTGATCAAATTAAATTGATCAAGTTCAGTAGCTCTCTGGGTTTGATGCCTTACTTTGGATTTAAAGCAGGGTGAGTGCTCAGCCCTTGCTCCCCAAGACCAGTCTCCCCTCTGCTCCAGCTGTGGCTGGCAATGTGTTTTTCCCTCCTTTTTGAAATCATGATGTCTTTTTATTCTGCTGCTGAGTGCCTGTGCTGGAGCCAGCGGCTGTGGGCACAAGCAGAGCTCCCTGGCTGCAATAATGGAATAATCCCTGTTTTACAAGCAGGAATGTCATGCATTAATGGGTGTGTCTTTGTTAGCAGCCAGTATCCTCAGAAAATCAAAGAATTGCTGGAGAAGCCCAGCTTTAATCAATATTTCAACATCTGCCTCTGATGCAAACCCCATTTCCAGCTGTGGGGCTGCTCCCAGTGCCCTCTGGTGAGCCCAGTGCTGCCCTTGGGGCTATGCCCTGGGCATTCCCAGCCTGGCACAGCCCTCAGCCTGTCCTGGGGGGGTTGTTCCATTCACAGCTGATTTTCAGAGCCATTTTTCTGGCTGTCCCCGAGCTGCTGACAGTGCCCAGGGAGGGCTGTGCTGTGTCCCAGTGGCCTCAGGCAGCCCCACACTGGTGGCACTGGGCACTCCCAGGATTGCAGTGCAGGGATAACCACGGGATGGGCTCCAGCCTCTGCATTTATGAAATTATTGTTGAAAATCATCAGTCATCCGCAGGCAGATGTTTGCACAGTGCCTGGCATTGTTTTCTCCCTTCCCAGCGAGTGCTGGGCATTAGCAGGGGTGCTGGGACATATAAGATTGTTGGATTTCAGAAATTTACATTGAGCTTTCAGCAGGGAGTTCACTCAGCCCATCAGTCAAGCGCCAGGCTGCCTGCACCAGCTTAGCTCCACGAATGGCTGTGTGTGCACAGTCCTGCCTTCTCAGCCTCACCACTGCTGCTCCCGGGCTGCTTTGTGCTGTCTCTGCCAGTCTGGGCACCTTTAGGGCTTTCTGCAGAGTAACACCAACCATTTCTCAATAAATGGTTTCATTAGAAACTTTAACCCTTGGAATGTCCTCTTAAGAACGGCATTTAAAAATTTGCAAATAAATTGAAGTGTAATTAATGCAGAGATACTGGGGGAAATGGGTTTGGTGCTTTTGGGTAACTTTCCCCCATCCTTGAGTTTTGCAGTGGGATTTTTTGTTTGGTTATTTCCCTAAAGACCATGAGTAGAGAGGATGGTTAAGCCAGGCTTTGGCTGTGATAGAATATCCTCAATGTTTGTGTCTGGAGCAGCCAAGGGGATTTTGGGTGCTCAGGCCCCAGCTGGAAGCTTTATTGGCAGATGTGACCTGTGCAGAGGTGGTTGCACCTCAGCTGTGCCATGTGTGGGGTCAGAAATGCTTCAGGTCCTGCTGAAGGATGGATTTTGGGGAGGGGAGCTGGGCACTGCTGGTCCCACCCCAGTCCCTCTCTGGTGTTCTCCTGCTGCTCTTGTTTCCTGGGGAAGCAGCACACAAAACCATGAGTTTGTCAGAGTAAAAACAAGCAGAAAAAGAAAAGAGGGAGCTTCTAATTCTGGTGGGTGTGTCTGTGTCCATCCCGTTCCCAGCAGCCTGAGGGCAGCAGACCTCGCTCTCCTTGTGCATCCGTCTGTGCCTTCAGATGAATGAGAGTGAGGAGCAGGCACAGCAGATCCCTACTGGGCAGGAGTGTGTCCTGCAGAGCACGGAGCAGTCTGTCCCTGTCCCTGGTTTCCCCTGGTCCAGCAGATGGCAATGCAATGCAAGCACCTCCCTGAGCCCAGGTGAGGGCTCTGCTCCCCTTCCTGCCCAGGAGTGCCAAGGGCAGGGTGGAAACTACAGCAGATTAATCTGCACCAGGTGGGTGACTTGTTTTAACCTTACCAAAACACCTGAATGAAAACCAGAGCTCTGCTAATCCCTTTAATGGGAGTTTTTGGAAGGTTTGGTTTGTTTTAAAACAGGGTAGCTTGGATTATATAAGGTTTCCTCTAGAAAATAATGATTCATGCAGGCTGGGGCCTTTTCCTGCCAGGTTCTGTGATCTCTCTGTTCTAAGTTTGCTTATTTTTGCCATGGATTTAATTTGTTTTATAAATTACAATGGCAGCTGCTCAGGTTTGTTCCTCTGACGTTTCCTGTGTGTTTAGATGAGCAAGTCCCCATCCATTTGTTTTTTGCTCAGTGGGGAGGAGGAGCTGGTTCAGCTGCCATGAAATCAGCCTTTCCTGCAATCTGACTCTGGCAGAGGTTACTCTGATATTCCTCCTCCCTGTCAGAGCTGCCTCACACTGCCCTGCTCTGAGTCCCCTGTCCAGCCTCTGGTGGGATCACATCTCTTGGCCTGGCAGTTTAGATGTTTTCCTGAGATGGGACTATGCTGGTGGCAGTGTCCCCAGCCTGGTGGCAATATCTCCAGCCTGGTGCCCACTCCTGCAGTGTCCCAGCCTGGTGGCAGTGTCCTCAGCCTGCTGCTCACTCCTGAAATGTTCCAGCCTGGTGG